AGTAGAAGACCCTCCCTTGCTTCCCAGGTCACCCTCAGCAGCGAGATATCGTCCAGGACGAACTCCTGTGGAAAATGTTGGGACAGTGTTCAGTGTAGGTGCCCCCTGAAGCTGTTGGCTCTTCCCAAGGCACAGAAACCCAGAGGACAGTGCAGCCCTGAAACAATCAGTCCCCCTTACTCACCATTTTGAGGCTCCCGTGGGATATGTGTGCTCTGTTTCGGACGGGAAAATTATGCTATTGTGTAGACCCTGTGTGTTTTCTACTCCTTAAGTGCGGGGGGAATCATTACTCTGTCTGGTATAAATAATGCTGCCTCTGTTAAATGTTGCATTTTGCCTATACAGCTGCATCAACCTCAGCCGTCCCTCTTATCGCCTGCTCAGAGACTGCAAAGACTCAGGAAGAGACCGCGAAAAAGCAAAGATGACATGTTGCAAGAAGTGATGCGGCAATCTATTAAAGAGAATGAGAAAGCACAGAACTGGAGGGAGAGAGAAAGCAGGATCCGCCAGGAAAACGAGGCGCACCGGCGGCAAAGCACCGCGCACCGGCAGCAAAGCACTGATAGGCTCATAAGCATCCTGGAGTGCCAAGCAGATGCTATCTAGGAGCTGGTAGCCATGCAGAAAGAGGAGCAGTACCGCAAACGCAAACACCACCTCCCCCTACAGCCCTTGTCCCAAAACTCTTTCCGTTGTGCCCCGTCACCTCCAACCCACTTTCCCCAACTTCCGTGTTCTTCACGCCACCCGCTGCCTCCAACACCAGTATCTTCACCACCCAGCCCTGAAAACCACGACCCTTACCCTCTGCACTCAACCCCCATCACCATGCAGTATAGCTGTCCTTAAGTGCAGCACTCACTGCACAGCACACCAGATAGGACATACGCGAATCTGTGATTGTACTGTTCCCCACTCCACCCCCTTGTTTCTTTTCAATAAATGGATTTTTTGGCTTTGATAACATTCTTTATTATTGCATAAAGTAAAAGACTCCTTAGCCCAGGAAATAAACAGGCACTGCAAGTCTGCTTGTCTGCTTAGCAAACACTGATTCCTAAAGATTGGAACTACTGCACTTCACTCCCGTGCAGGGCACCAGATATCACTGCTGGTTTTCAGCCTCAAATTGCTCCCTCAAGGCATCCCTAATCCTTGCAGCCCCGCGCTGGGCCCCTGTAATAGCCCTGCTCTCTGGCTGTGCAAATTCAGCCTCCAGGTGTTGAACCTCAGACGTCCATGCCTGATTGAAGCTTTCACCCTTCCCTTCACAAATATTATAGAGGGCACAGCACACGGATAAAACTGCGGGGATGCTGTTTTCGGCCAAGTCCAGCTTCCCATACAGAGCTCGCCAGTGGGCCTTTAAATGGCCAAAGGCACACTCCACAGTCATTCGGCACTGGCTCAGCCTGTAGTTGAACCGTTCCTTGCTGCTGTCAAGGCTCCCTGTGTAGGGTTTCATGAGCCACGGCATTAACGGGTAAGCGGGATCTCCAAGGATCACAATGGGCATTTCAACTTCCCCTACCGTGATCTTCCGCTCTGGGAAAAAAGTCCTGGCCTGCATCTTCCTGAACAGCCAAGTGTTCTGAAAGATGCGTGCGTCATGAACCTTTCCGGGCCAGCCTGTGTGAATGTCAATGAAATGCCCACGGTGATCCACAAGCGCCTGGAGAACCATAGAGAAATACCCCTTCCGATTAACGTACTCGGATCCTAGGTGGGGTGGTGCCAGAATAGGAATGTGCGTCCCATCTATCGCCCCTCCACAGTTAGGGAACCCCATTTGTGCAAAGCCATCCACTATTTCCTGCACGTTACCCAGAGTCACGGTTCTTCTGAGTAGGATGCGATTAATGGCCTTGCAAACTTGCATCAACACGATTCCAACGGTTGACTTTCCCACTCCAAACTGGTTTGCGACCGACCGGTAGCTGTCTGGAGTTGCCAGCTTCCAGATTGCAATAGCCAGCCGTTTCACCACTGGCAGGGAATCTCTCAATCTCGTGTCCTTGCGCCGCAGGGTGGGGGCAAGTTCCTCACACAGTCCCATGAAAGTGGCTTTTCTCATCCGAAAGTTCTGCAGCCACTGCTCGTCATCCCAGAGTTCCATGACGATGTGATCCCACCACTCGGTGCTTGTTTCCCGAGCCCAAAAGCGGCATTCCACGGTGCTAAGCATGTCCGTGAATGCCACAAGCAATTTCGTGTCGTACGCGTTACGCGGCTCGATAGCATCGTCGGACTCCTCACCCCCACTCTCACTGTCACTTTGGATCTTAAGGAATAGTTCGACAGCCAAACGTGACGTGCTGGCGAGACTCGTCAGCATACGCCTCAACAGTTCGGATTCCATTTCCCGCAGACAGATCGCGCTGCACAGAAACCGTTAAAAGATGGTGCCAAAGGTGGACGGAAACAAAGGGATTTCTGGGATGCGAAGCGATGCATCACGGGGCATTGGGACAGGACCCAGAATCCCCCATACCCACGCCCCCTTCCCACAACCCACGGCGCCAGAATGGGAAAAGGTGCTCTGTGGGATAGCTGCCCATAATGCATCGCTCCCAATAGCGCTGCAATTGCCGCAAATGTGGCCACGACAGTGCACTGGGCAGCTGTCAGTGTGGACAGACTGCAGCGCTTTCCCTACTCAGCTGCACGAAGTCAGGTTTAACTCACAGCGCTGTACATCTGCAAGTGTAGCCAAAGCCTCAGGTACAAGGCAGCCAGGAGAGAACAGGCAATAACTGCACTCACTATAACTTCCATTGATAGGGAAACATCTTCCCAAAGTTTCACCTTTACTCAGGATGGTATTAGGTTTCTATCCCTCTCCAAAGGTCCAAAACTAAACTAAACTAAACCCCTCTAAAGAAATATAGAGCAAACTAAATGCAAGAACAGTAATATACCAAATAAATGCTAGTAGAAGATTGGCTACAACTCCCAGGTCTGCCTCAATTGGTTTGCAAACAGTTAGAAGAGCACTTAACAAGTGACAACTACAGCTCAGGCTATAAGAAAGACACCTTGATTTTTTTTGTTTAACCCATACAGGCATATCTCCAGTTAAGAGGACACTGATGGGAGTACAAATTATATAAATAAAATCAATATGAGCTATTCATTAATTTCTAAGCATTTTATATAAATATTAAGCACAAACGTGGCCTTGAGAAGTTCATGATCTTCAGTCCAAACGACAGCATTCAGCCTTAATAGATAAACTTATTTCTGCCTCATATTTATAGATGGAAGAGTCATTCTTTTGCTTCAGCCGGAGTGAAATATAGCATAGCATTCAAACTGGGTTAATTATCTATAAAAATAAGCCCCATTTGTTCTTGTTATCTCCTTTGAATAGAGAGGAAACTAAGAAGTGTGTGTATCAGTACAGGACAATTCTGAATGGCAATCAGGTTATCAGTAATAGATTCTAATGACATCAACGCATCATGAGTAATCCTTTCTTATAGAAGCCCTCTGATTCACTAGGACATTCTTTCATATCCCTGTGTATACCTCCAGTTATTCCAAATTTGCATCTCAAATTAATTTGGAATTTTCTGAAGAATTTCATTGTTGGTGCTTATGCAATATTGTCTCATCATACAGATGCAAAATGCTCATTATGACACCAAAAATCTCAAAAGAACATTTACAATTTGCAGGTTTAGAGAGTAGTTGATGGATTTTCTTCTTTATGGATTGCTTCAGGGGAGCAACTGTATCATGTCGGTATAAGTATAGCTCTCTCTATTTTGGCTATCCAATCATCATTTCTATTTCTGCAAGTGATGCAGCATTTAAGATCGCTGAAAGAAAATTTCTTAAAAGGCACAATGGAATATAAATATGAAATTTCAAAGGCACTCAGTAAATTGCCATGTATATACTGTATCTTCTTTTTCTTGTGTACACCTCTACCCCGATATAACGCTGTCCTCGGGAGCCAAAAAATCTTACCGCGTTATAGGTGAAACCGCGTTATATCGAACTTGCTTTGATCCACCAGAGTGTGCAGCCCCGCCCCCCTGGAGCGCTGATTTACCACGTTATATCCGAATTCGTGTTATATCGGGTCGCATTATATCAGGGTAGAGGTGTATTCTAAAAAAAAAAAAAAAAAATGGTTTTGCCTTGGAGCTAGCAGCAGAATGATTTGTCATGAGGTAAAGAGGATGTCAAACTGGAATACTTTATGAAGACTGAGGAAGAATTCAGGCCCGAAGAAAAATAACCCATATATAAAAGCAGCAAGAACTTCAAGTACATATGCTGAATAATCTCTTACTATTGAACATTTGAATTTATCATATAATTTTCAATGTACTATATTGCGTTATGCAGTAAAATCTATAATGAATTATCTGAATTATGCATGTTTTTTCTCTTTCTATATAAAAACCAAAAATGATTCATAGCATACTATATGTTTTCCCCCATTTTTTTGGAATGGAATAGTAATACAAAGGTTACATCTTTGGAAAATGTCATCTTAAAGGGTATGCCAATCTGACTAGTTTTAAATATATTAACATTATTAACAAAAAAGAATGAAAAGGCTCTTCATGAACTAGATGACCAAATCTATCATGCTACCACTAACCTCCCCGCAAATATTTTTCAAAAACTCTGGTTTAAAATAATTATAAGTGAATCTCCAGATAACAGTACTGGAATTCCTGAACATTTAACCTAGTAACTTTTAAATCTTTAAAATACAGAAAAATGTTAAGATGTAAATAGATAGGGTGGTGGGAAACCCTGAAAAGAAGCCTTACCCTTTCTGGCAGGAATCTTTTTTAAAAGAAAGCAAGAGAACCAACATCAGTGTACCTAGGAAAAAGCTAACCCTCACTCACCCCACCATACCACATTGCATATACACGGCCATGAGCACCATTAGGGTAGGACTGAAAGAGATACGTAAAACAAAGTTTAAAGAAAGCTTAAATAAAACCTATATTGAAATAATGACACTCTACCTCAGTAATGGGTTGCCCTTGCTGTGTCAAATCCAGTTCCTGAGGTCTTGTCATTTTATCAATATCCAAGGAGTCCATGCTGGATGCTGCAGAGGTTATGCTGGAACGGGATGAGTTACTGATAGAGCGCACTTCAGCATCACTCACTGTGCCAGCTGATGCTGTCCTTCTATGCTGAGCAGTAACTACAGGTTTAGCATCTTCCATTACAGATTGCTGGGCTGCTTCATCCATGCTCAAAGAAGCCTTCTCTAACTGGGCAGTAATGTCCTCCAAGGAAAAGTTGGCATTTGAAGGCTTAGTTACCCTACCAGATGAAGAGGACGATCCTTTTATACTGCTGTGTTTAGAGGAAAGTCGACCAGCAGGTGGTTTCTGAGCTACTTTTGTTTCTGTGGCTAGACGCTTCATTGCAGCACTATTTGCTGATTGTGACCCAATGCTGCTGAGCTCCTGCTCTATGGAACAAAGATCAGCCATGAGGGCATCCAGATCCACAGTCTCCCCCTGATTCAGGGCTTCTGTAAGGAACAACAGGCATTAGCTTCCTTATGATTAACCCATTTCTCAATCCTGTTCTCTAAGTAGTGCTACTTTGCACTGGACAAGATAGAAACAATACAGTAATTTCACCATTCTGAATCTACAACACTCAAAATAAAAAGTAGTTGTTAAAATTTAATTTAATTTCAGAGAAATACATTTGCCAACATGAGTGCCAGTAATGGAAGCCTATGATGTCAGTGAATTTTTTTTCAAATTTACAGAAATGCTTGATGAGCAACTGTCTGGTTAAAAACCCTGGTTGACATTTTTGAAGCAATGCAGAGATGATCCCTACACATTTTTCATTATTTTATTGGAAGATATGTGGCAAAATCTCCCACACTGCTTTGAAAACCAAAACTCATTTTTTTAAATGCAAGTTTCCTATACTACTGCCAGAGTCATAGATAATGAAAAACTGACAAAGCTTTTTATAATATTTGCTTTTTTGTTTAACCTAAATATTGGACCTAATTACTGCATTTCCCCTTTTATGTGCAATCTTATTTAGATTTTTTCCCCCATTTCTATCCAATGTGGCTTAAGGAACAAACTTATCAATTCCCTCTTTCATTAAAAAGGTTATCAGAATAATTGTTCTTTACAAATAAGTAGATTCTGATTCTCAGACATTAGCTGCTGAAAGACACCCAGTTTGGGACACTAAGAATTCTGTGTCACATAAACAGGATAATACAATGTAAGCAAACTAGGAAATGATGCCCTAGTATGTCTAGATGCTATGTTTTAATGCTGTAGGATTTTAGCGTTTTGTAAGATGGCTGCTTTCTGATAAAACAAATATTCATTCAATGTTAGAAAAAAAAATTGAGGGTCTCAGATAATTCTGTTTACCATTCAAATTGTACATGGAGAAGCGATAGGAGAAATTGGCAATGTTGGTTTCTTGGCGAAGAGGGGATTTCTTTACTGGCTCCATGGGCTTGTCTGTATCCAAACTCTAAAAAATAAATAAATAAATAAATAAATAAATAGAGAAGAGAGAAAAGAAGCTAAAATAAAGTTTGCATTTAATATAACAGGAGCTGGTGGTCAAACAATATTACAAATATGGTTGAAAGCTTAATTTCAGTGGGAGAAATGTAATCTAAGAAAATGAGTTCTCTTTTGTACGATTTGCACTAGAAAAGTATTTAGTTACCATGTTACTGAGATTAACGTCAACTGTCCAACTATGAGAGATGTTAAAATAAATTCATTCTGATGCTATAGAACTGAAAAGAAGGAAAATATATTCTTAAATTTGTTTTTCAGTAGTATTGTTCTACCTCACCATTTTGAAAGAATTACTTTACTGAGATTTTCTACAGTTACCTGGATCAGTTTGACTATCAACGTAATTCAGAAAAAAAAACTCAACATATCAGAAGCAAGAGAGAGGATTTTTTAAAGTAAATTTGCCTAAATTATCAAATTATCTTTACTAATATGGACTATTATTTTTTAAATATATTAGTTATGAAAGTGAGCTTCATTCCATCTTATGAGAAAAGAGCGCGATGTGCATATGTTATCCATTATGGCTTTAAAAACACATGTTGATATGTAACAGAATACTTTAGCAACTGTTATGTGGCTAGATATATTAGACAGTACTCTATGAATATTTTACCATTATAATAAAAATGCTTAATATATTTAATTCGTTTGTAAATTCATGTTCTGCTGTTTTTGTAATTATAGAATCTTAGAAAAGTAGGGCTGGAAGGGACCTTGAGAAGTCATCAAGTCCAGCAGGACCAAGTAAACCTAGACCATCCCTGACAGGTGTTTGTCCAACTTGTTTTTAAAAGCTTCTAATGATGGGGACTTCATGACCGCCTCTGGAAGCCTATTCCAGAGCTTAACTACCTTTCTAGCTAGAAAGTTTTTCCTAATATCTAACCTAAATCTCCTTTGCTGCAAATTTAGCCCATTACATCATGTCCTATCTTCAGTGGATATGGAGACTAATTGATCACCATCCTCTTTATAACAATCCTTAACATATTGGAAGACTTATCAGGTCGCCCCTCGATCTTCTTTTCTCAATACTAAACATGCCCAGTTTTTTCAACCTTTCCTCAGAGGTCAGGTTTTGTAAACTTTTTATCACTGTTGTTGCTCTCTGCTGGACTCTTTCCAATTTATCCAAATCCTTCCTAAATTGTGATGCCTCACCAGTGCCAACTAGAGCGGGACAATTATCTTGTGTCTTACACACAACACGCCTGTTAATACACCCCAGAATCATAATTAGCCATTTTGCAGCTGTAGCACATTGACAACTCATATTCAGTTTGTGATCCACTATAACCCCCAGATCCTTTTCAGCAGTACTACCACCTAGCTAGTTATTCCCCATTGTATAGCTGTGCATTTGATTTTTCCTTCTTAAGTGAAGTTGATTTCAGATGAATTCTCTAATTTGTCAAGGTCATTTTGCATTTTAAACCTGTTCTCCAAAATGCTTGCAACCCCTCCCAGCTTGGGGTTATATGCAAGTTTTATAGCATACTCTCTCCTCTATTATCCAAGTCATTAATGAAAATATCTAATAGTACTGGGCCCAGGGCTGACCCCTGTGGCACTCCACTAGATATTCCCTCTCAATTTGACAGCAAGCCATTGATAACTAGAGTATGGTCTTTCAACCAGTTGTGAGCCCACCTTATAGTAATTTAATCTAGACCACATTTCCCTAGTTTGCTTATGAGAATGTCATGCAGAACTGTGTCAACAGTCTTACTAAAATCAAAGAATATCACATCTCGCTCTCCAGCCTCAACTCCCAGGAGTCATCCCTCTGCACCAGGCCAGGATTAGGGTTGCAGTACCAGGGTAGAGGGTGCTGTTGCAGGTGGTCGGTGCCCAATCGACAGTTTAGTACAGTGCACCCACTGAAACAGGAGGCTACATCTGCCCCTGTTTCAGAATGAGACTGTCTACCTGGAGAGACAATTATACCGTTATAGTTATATCTGTTGTGACGCTCTGTACCTCGGGGGAACACCCAGCACCCCCATGTCCATCCTTGTAAAATGATTGTGTGGTATCCAATGCAAAGTTGATCACGTTGGGTGTCTTCGGAAGGCTCATGATGCAGTGAGCATTGTTGCTACAGTGATGTTATAGTAATTATTTTAACAGTAATGTTATAGATTGTAATTTCATTTATACAGTTATGAAGCTGAAAATGTGCCCTCGTGGCTTAAAGCAAGCCCAGGCAAAAGCTCCCCAAGAGCAGAGAGGCAGTTCACACCTCATCAGGGGATATATGGGACAAACCCAGCCCAGCCTCACAGGAATAAAGGACACTGGCCTAGGCAACAACAAAGGATCTGTTGGACTCTCGAGTGAGTCACCTCCCTTCCTTTGGTCAATTTGGGACTGCGATGAGGTAATGCTCACATGACTCTGAAGAGGGAGGGGGGGGCAAAGTCAGGAGGGAAGAAAACATGTTAAAAGGGAGAGACTTTGCCATGCTCTTCCTCTCTCTTCCACCTACATCTATAGAAACCACACCAAATGACTGAAGCGCTGATCAAAGGGGAGAGCCTGGCTGAAGGGCAACCAGCCAGCCTGTGGTGAGAAGCATCTAAGTTTGTAAGGGCATTGAAAGTGTTAAGATCAGCTTAGAATGCGTTTTGCTTTCGTTTCATTTGATCAAATCTGACTTGTTATGCTTTGACTTATAATCACTTAAAATCTATCTTTGTAGTTAATAAATCTGTTTATTCTACCTGAAGCAGTGTGTTTGGTTTAAAGCGTGTCAGAGACTCCCCTGGGGATAACAAGCCTGGTGCATATCAATTTCTTTGTTAAACTGACGAACTAATATAAGCTTGCAGTGTCCAATGGGCGTAACCGGACACTGCAAGACGAAGGTTCCTAGGGTTGTGTCTGGGACTGGAGATATTGGCTAGTGTCATTCGGTTGCACAATCCAAGGAACAGTTTACATGCTAGAGACTGCGCATGAACAGCCCAGGAGTGAGGGTTCTCACAGCAGAGCAGGGTAAGGCTGGCTCCCAGAGTCATGGATTGGAGTGGCCTGACAGATCACCGGTCCAGAGAACACCAGGGGAACGTCACATCTGCATACTGGTATAAATTTTTTTTTTTTTTTAAATCTCCCATGTAGACAGGCCCAAGTCTCCTAAAAGCGAAGTTTCATAGGAAGAAGTAAGTTTTATCTACTACCAGAGGTAGTATTTTAATTTTTGTTTTGGGATCCAGAGGTGGGGTAGGAGCTAAAGGAAAGAGATTCCCAAACTCTAGGGAAGGGAGATTTAATTCCTGAATGCTTTTCAGCTTCCAAGGTAGCCATGTAGCATTGTTAATTAGTTTGGCAGTTGAACCTCACAGAAATAAGAATTTTATTTCTCTGTTTCTTTCTTATCTTCTTTCAACTCATTTTTGAACTGCGTGATATACATCTTTTTCCCTCCTCACTCAACACCATTAATTCTGTCAGACATCCTCCCCACATTTTGTTTCAGTCTTTGCCCTCAATTGCACTTGAAAAATCCAAGTGATAAAGGTGAATGTGGGCACCTTAAATCATCAATTTCTGCAGATTTAAGTTTAGAAAAAAAATCATTGCTATTCCTTATACCTGGGAAGACAACCATCCAAATGTAAACAATGTAAATCAGTGATGTACCACTGCCTTCCTCAGGCTGCAAACAGATGGCTCTAGTGCCTCTACTTTTATCCAGAGATTTCCCAAGCAGCACCTGAGTGAAAATGTGCCTATTTAGAACCTAACAGGCGACAGTAAAACTGTCAAGAATCATGTGAGTTTACACACTGCTGCTACTGGATACAGTTATGACTATCAGTAAAGGTAGGAACTGGAGTTATTTGTGGGTGATGAGGACCAATATGGAAACTGAGAAGAGTAGGGGAGGCTTAATTCCTCAGACTGAACCCATAGTCTCTGGCCCATAGTTTAGACCTCTTGATAAAGTCTCATTTGCTTATTAAAAAGTTTTGGTCAGGAGTACATACATTATGCATAGTACAGAAATCAAGAGTTATCAAAAATTACTTTGTGTCCCATGAACATTTATATAGATAGGTTCTAGTGACAGGAGCAGAACAAGTTCTCACCTAAGCCTTTGGAAGGTGAATTGGTGAGTTTTATAAGACTGCTAAAAATGCTGGTTGGCTATAGCAAACCAAGAGAAAATCTTGAATGGAACCAAAACACAAAATAAGATACTCCTTAACACCCTGGCACTAGAAAGCAGGATGTCCTGATGCTAACCACTAATGCAAAATGCATTAGTGCTAAATGGTATAAGGTATTGACTGCAAGTGCTACAGGGTTTAAGACTACATTTTGTAACACTTTTATGGTGGGGAGGGGAGGGGTTACGGAGGGCACAGTGAATTCAAAAGATCTCCTGGGCACCATAAAGTTTAAACATATATTTTAAAAAAAATTTCCATCTGGAAAAAAATCTTACTTTGCGGTCCAATAAACATCCAGTGAACCTGGGAAAGAAAAATTCAGAGAAGACAGACCTGTTTTTCCATTGCTCCAATAGTCCAGCTGGAATAGAACAATGAATGCACTAGGAATCTGTGCAGGGAGATACTCTGGATTTCTTGCAAGCTCTAATTATGCTCATGCCAAATCTTAACTGTGACCTCAGCCACGTTAAGGGACAATAACTTTTCAAGTAAATGGACTGTGTGACAGTCAGATATGCCAATCTGTTGATATAGATATAAGACTGTATGAGGTCACTTAAGGTTTTGCATGAGAGCACAAGTCTGATGAAGCTGAGATACATATTACTTTTCAGTGCCTGTGGGAGATGGAAGTGAAAACCTTATAAAGCGATGGAATGTATTGGCAACAGCACTGTGAGCAATATGAAGGTGGCAAAAAACACAGGACACTTTTTCCTTAACTATTTATTTCCAGAATTTTGAGATTTTGCCTGGGTGG